TCGCTTTCAGGCTTGCCGAGTACACAAACCATACGTAGAAAGGAGCAGTAAAGACAAAGCCAGCACCAGCGAGGTCAGCGAGGAACCAGGGGATCTGCGGTGTCAGTAGAAACTGGAACCATTTATTGAGCACCACCTGAAAAACAAAGTACTTCTAGGTGAGCGAGTGAGGCATGAGGCAGTTACCTGTGCCACAGATGCGGAAATCCAGATGACCGCAAAACAGAACAGAGGAACACGAGAAGAGGCGGCGATATACATTCTGTATTAGTCTTGAGAAAAGAACAATAGAACGAAAACGCCTAAAAACAAGCACAGTTAACTTTGAACAAATCGTTTGAGATAAAAAGCTGTTCTCCAACTTCTAGCGCCCACCAGAATCAGTTATGACACAATCGGAAGACGGATGGATCGTGGGCAATCAAGTGCTCTTGTGTAGCAGATACGCTGATGCTTGAGAAACTGCAAGATTGCAAGATTTAGGCTGTCGTTGAAAGTTCTCTCCGAGATCTATACATGATTATCGCCGAGTAAGGGTGACAATCCATGAACATTCCATGTTCGAGCATGCTCAGGGAATCATGTATTGAGAGCAAGTGAGTAAGGTATTGGTCAGCACATACAGCCAATGCCTTTTACGATATGCAAACAGTGTGGGAAAATATGCACATGGTCAACCACATATGTTGGTGAGAATATGAAATTTCTGAGTAAATTTCGGAAATTTCCTGTACATTTCTACCCTACTTTGTATATAAACTCCTATAATTAGTGAGGAAACTCCTAGGGTCAGCTGAGGGAAGCGAACGCATATTACAAAACTGTATCCAAAAGGCTTCTCCTTCTTATTTGATACTCTGCGGATTCACTGAGTGTTCCTCAGCAATTCTCCATCACCGCTACGTTTTTCGCCCCCTCACCGCGGTACCATTATAATGTCAGCTACCGTCTCAATCCCCAAGGCAGGTGCTGGTGCCGACTTAAGGAAGTTCATGGAGAAACGACTTGATCGTAATATGCGTAACTTCCAAGGGGACACCAACGTCAACGGCTTCATTGGTCAGTAAAGCTGAACGGCAATCGTCACGTTGTTGGAGTGCTCAGAGGCTACGACCAGTTTATGAATCTCGTACTGGATAATGCGGTACTAACCACGGGACGGGGTAAATCCTCATTTCTAAAGAATAGGTCTCTTTCTAAAGAAGTTTAGCGCACGCTCTCACCTGCATTTCGACTTAGCCTCGGATTGCAGCCTGGCCTTGGATTACAGTTTGGGTTTTTGGTTTCCCGTCGGGTTTCGGGTGGGGTTTCGGGTTTCCCTTTCTCCGCTTTCACCTGCAGTTCTTGTTTTTTTTGGAATTTGCAGTTTAGATTCCCACTTGCGTTACGGTCATCGCCTGAATATCAACCTTTACTCTTCATTAATGGCGCGCTGATATTCTTTGGTTTTTATGCATCTCGCTTAGATTTGATGCAGTGCCCCCACGGGACGCATCTTTGGAATCTGACTGAACTCTCGTAGAGAATTTCTGTGCCACTGACAGTGTTGGAATATACGTTTGCTTTCCTCACCTAAATTCAAGGGTTGTCTTCACTAATTTTAGGAGTGTACACTTGAATCCAAGTAGAAGGGTAAGAAAGCAAAATTTTTCTCCCAAATTGCCTCCGAGTTTTCATATTGTCACCATTGGCTCGTGAAACAACATGGCCATTATATGGTTTTCATATTGTCATGGTTTCGGGTTTCGGATTATTGACCCGGGATAAACGGACAGTACCGGACTAGGAGCGAATACCATTGGTGACAATATGAAACCATTCATCACCATTCATGAAGCGGCCATTCGTGTGTTGGTGACTCACCAACACATGAAGTTGACCATGTGCATTCTCACCACACTGGTTGTTGATGTGGGATTTTCCATCCTGATGTTTCGATCGCCCTCATGGATCTCAGGTTGAGTTGGTCTCTCGCACGGAGAAGAAGGATATTGGTATGACCGTCATTCGGGGTAACTCGGTGCTCATGTGGGAGTGCCTCGACAGGGTGACACAGTAGAGTGAGACTGCCTTAACTGCATCGAATCCCAACCCTCCCTCAGGTGTATGATGGTTCTATCAGAGGCGTCTCATTTCTTATGCGAGTCATTACGTGTTGCGCCTCCCAGTTGAATGAAGGAAAGGGCTCGATGGCAGATCGCTCGATCATTCCATAGGGCATGCTACTCTTGAAATACCAACGTCGGAAGTCTACGCGGGAAAGCTACTGACCAGCAATATCACTGTCACTTCGGCACTGCTGAGTGTATGCTGACACGGAGGCAATTCCATCGCCTCCGCTAGTTTCATGTCCTTATCCGGGTATCTTATTTCTCTAGTCAAAATTAGTGAAAATTAGAGGCATTAGAAGAAAATTAGTGAAAACAAGTAAAATTAGTGGCATCACTCGCGGAACATATTTTTTGAAAAAGCAATGATAAGATATCTTTTAGTAAAATATCTAAAAGACGGTAAAAGATTTTTACCTCGCAGTCTATCAACGCAACACTCAATGTTACAGTAAGCTGGACTGTTTCGTTGAACTCTTATTGGATCATCAGTTCACACCAGTTTCCTCTCCGTAGCGTTGCGTATCTATCAAGTACTTACCAAGTGTCACACTCCATGGGCCTATCTCAAAATCCTCTTTAAGAACATTCTTCTTAGTAAGAAGAATGTTCTTAGAGAGGATTTTGAAAAAAGAAGTTAGTAAAGAAGTTCTTACCCGTGAAACGGCCAAATTTTGCCTGAATTTAGGCCCTAAACCGCTTTCGAAACGCACTCAAGGAGCGGCTCCTTGGAAAACCTCAAGAAGTGTTTTTTGAACCATCAACCTCCTGAACCCTTTTTGAAAGAATCATTCATTAAGGAAGCCTTCCTGTAAGAACCTCGTCTCTACGTTAAAATATGTAACTTACGCAGCGTAAGTAGCTTCAACAAGCTCATAACCGATTTCAAAGATCTGATTTTCATGAACATTTCGCTTCAAGAAACTAAACCTCCTGAGGGGCAGGTTCAACTTGGCTGTGACGCGTTTTTGGTCGTAGCTTGCGAAACTGTTTCGCCGAGACATTTCACACATGACTTCCCTTATTTGTCTCGTAATTTCGGTTCGAAAACGTCAATCGAAATGAGCTTCCAAAAACCTCAAGAAGTCCAACATTTTTAAATCCATTGAGGACCTCAACTGTTTTCAAGGTTTCTGAGCCCCTTCTTCCAAGAGGTTCTTGAACCTCAAGAAGCCCTTCTTCGAAGATAGTTTTGAGATAGGCCCCATGAGACATTCATTATCGGACTGCTCCGTGACAACG